TTCCTGGTTAAATTAACCAGGAATAACTGGTTAATCAATGGAACCAGGATTTCCTGGTTAATATAACCAGGAATGCGTCGGTCCCATATGGAATACTTTCCTGGTTAAAATTTAACCCCATATTGGTTAAATTTAACCAGGATGTTTTTAGAGTGTACACAATTATAGGCTAAGTGGCACTAATTATTACAAAACGGTACCGGTTCCTTTTTATCTATCTCGATTGGGAATCTAATATCTCTACATATGAAATTTGTATTTTCCATACCGAAAGGGAATAGAATCGAAGTGGTAATTACTTGTGCAATTTTCAATAAATTTATGTTATCCCAGTACAGGATGCTGAACAAAAAACCCAGCTAGAACGGGGTCAAGAGAAGACCTTTTTGTAAATCACACGCGGAGATCATCATCTGCGCTGTGACATGTTTTGTTCAGTTAGTTTTAAATAAACATTTACCATTTCTCTTGAAGAAAAGTGTCCAAAGAAATTTCCGTGATTAAACTAAATCTAAGGTATCAGGTCTAAAACAAGATTTTTTCTTGAATCACTCATGTTTAATTTCGCAATTCAATTCATACGATGACTATCTAGATTGCATCAGTTTAAAGACAAATTATTTTCGGCGCCTGGGAATTTAAGATAGCACAACTGTCACTTACTCAACTGTCACTGAATTACTGCACACGCGCGAGTGCATAAAGCAAAATTTATGGTTTATTTAATGCACAACAACAGTAATGTGATCTATTAGCAATTCGATTTCAATTTCCAGCGGCCTAAAATCTTTTAAGAATTGCAAAGTGATTTCTTAGGAAATTCAGAGGTTGCTTTTTTTTATACACCCTGTATATACCATAACACTATTAATAATGGAAGCGCATAACACTATTATATATCCTGTCTGTCTGTATAATTTATTTTTTTTTTACAAAGAACTGCCAAAAGCTACATATCTTGTAAGCAGGTGAACTTATTAATGATCTTATGACACTATACAAGGGTATACAACACTATCCAATGTTATACACGACTATACAACACTACTGTATGTAAGGCTATACAAGATTATACGTATACAACACTATATAACGTTATACAAGACTATACAGGGTGTATAAAAAAAAGCGCAATCCTCGACTGAAATGTAAATTGCTAAACAAATAATAGACGAAAACGTTAAAGTTTACATTCATTTTAAAGCGTAGCCATTCAGCTTTCTAACAGTGGGTTGTTTCTTAAATTTGACTCATTGGTTCGCGGGTAATAATACTTTACGTTATTGCGATTGGAGAGTAAAAAAATTGAGGTGGAATAACAAATCGTTCTCATGAAAATAACTGATTTTTTTATTAAAACAAAAAAATGTTGCATTTTATTAAATGGATTGTAACAATAAGTATAATTACGGCTTTTCTTCCACCATTTTTAACTCAGTTTGAAATTAACTTCAAATGCGATATAATTTTGGCTTGGACCATCTAAGCTGACTGACATCAACTTGCTATAATTTCTGTTTACATTACATCGCCATTCGATGACACTCTGGCTCAGACACCCGAATGTTTTGACGATTTTTAGCATTCGTTTAGGATTTTCAAACAACCTGGTCTCTTTTAAAATACTTTTAATTTGTTCTTACGTGGTTTTCTAGATGTAGTGACGACAATATTAAAGTTTAAAGAAGAAAATTCTAACATTTAAACCGACTAAACAATAACATAGTAAACTTGCATATTAAACAGCAACTAAATATGATAGGTTTTACTAAATCTTTTCTTGTGCAATTATTACTAGCATTGGAGACAAGGATAATAGTTTGTTTGAAAGAGAAAGGACCAGGCTTTGAAGTAAGCCTAAAAGCGTTTAACTAGAAATAGTATTTCGAAAGTTATTAAGCACAAAAGATGAATTGCGTTTATTTTGATACACCCTGTATAACAACATGTAAAGGCTATGCCACACTATATATGACACTATACTACGTTATACAAAAATATACAACAATATATAATATTATACGACACTATACAACACTATACAACGTTGTGCAAGACTATCAAAATTACGACACTATACAAGATTGTACATGATGCGACAGACTATACAATACTACACAACGTTATGCAACACTATACGACACTATATAAAGCTATACGATACTATACAATGTTAATTATACAAGACTATACGACATTGTATAAGACTATACTGTACAACACTATACAACACTACACAATAATACACAAAGTTATACAACACTATACAACACTTTAAAAACTCATTAATAATTCATGAAGAAAACACAAAGAAAAATCATAAGCGTGTCGTATCTGTATTATGTGATACAGATTCATGTTGATTTACATAAACTTTAACTATGATTTTCTCGGCTTAGACAACGTTTATTTTTAAAATAAGTTCGCCAATGAACTCATAAGATGAGTCGTTTTTTAAGTTGTTTGCAACATTCGCGTCCGTTTTGTATCAGATATACAAACTTTTGCCTTCGGCTCGAGTTTGTATATCTGATACAACACGGCCGCTCATGTTGTAAACATTACATGCAACGTTCAACAAAACTATACATCATTATATATAAGGCTATGCGACAGTATACAACGTTATACAATACTATATAACAATATAAAAAGCTTTACAACACTATACAATGTCAGTGGCGTAGCCTGCCCGACAATTTAGTCCCGCTATGCAAATTCAAAATTATTATCAGTATTAATTTCTTTAGAAATTGATTGTTTTCACAGTCAATGAACACGAAAATATTTGCATAGCGGGACTAAATCGTCGGGCTGGCTACGGTGCTGTACAATGTTATACAAGATTATACAACACTATATAAGGCTATATGACACTAAACGACACTATGCAACATTATACAATGGTATACAAAACTATAGAACACTACAATTATAAGGCTACACGGCACCATACGACACCATACAACGTTATACAAGACTATACAATAATACATATGGCTATACGACACTGTACGACACTAAACAACGTTATACACGACTATATGACACTATTCAAGACTATACAACGCTATACAACGTTATACAAAACTATACGACACTATGCAACACCATGTGTCATTTCGATGTTTTCCTTCGTGGTTGAGATAATAGTTATATACCCTGTGCCTGTGAGCAGAGCCTTAATTAATATCAAGTCTTCAATCATTTTCACGTTTTTCTTCGTAAATCATCACAACATTTGCCAAAATTGAACATGCCTGCATCATTCTGTCATGATATTTAAACGTTCAATATAATAAGTAAACATTGTCAACACCTTATACTAATAATTGGCTAAATCGTACCTGCAAAAACTGATTTTTTAACGAAATTATTGTCTTTTATTTGTGAAGAAATTATTGTTTTTTATATTTTTTATCTTGGCGGAAAGTACAGAACGAAAGCTTTACGGCGACTTACGAGCAATTACCGACTGACAGAGATCCAAATTTCTTCTATATTTTGAATAAAACTGCATCGTTATAACTCGGTCAAGGAAACTGGCACAAGTCATAACGTCAAAATCAGTTGTCAAGAATAGTGTGCTGCCTACGGCAGCAATAAGTTTGTAAATACGACAATGTTCGTTGATCATGTTTGATGTCTACATAACCAAATTCAAACTGTATTAAAAATGTGCTCAATTAAAAAAAATATATATGCAAATTTACGCTACTGAGTCTGAGCAATGGTCGTATAATCGTTGATGTTATTCATATACTCGCAAGTTGTGATAACTAGACCATACTGGTATACACAACTACGCTTTCTACTTGACCAGTTTAAGTAGCTGAGGAGATTGGAAATATTCGCCTGGCATGACTGTGTTGTCAAAACATTTTTGGTCGGAGCTTGATTTTGGTTTCAAGCTTCTAGATAGCATTTAATATGGCTTTATATTTTAGTAAACACGAGTCAATTATTCCATTCTGACTGTATGGTAGCGAAACGTAGCCTATTTCATTGTTCCGACAGCATTAGAGCAAAACTAATGACTTAATTATAAACACAATGGAAATTTCCATAACATTTTCTATTTACAAATGCGATATGCTTGGTAACCAGGCCAGGGACCACTTTTTTGAAATCAGGGACCATTTTACCGAAATCTGATAGGCTCTCTCGCTGAAGCGTTCTGCACAGCACACCCAGGCATAAAACTTTTAAGACTTATTTAAATATATCAAAGCAGCGAATAGAGAGAGAGAGAGAGCCTGGGACTAGGCTGGCCTGGGCCTACATGAAAGATGTTATCTTATCATATTTTAATAAGATAGCACCAGTTATAAAGAAACGTGTTCATGGAAAACCATCCCCATGGATGACGGATGAGATTAAAAAAGCAATGAACGCTCGCGATATGCTATTGCGTAAGTCCAGGAAAACAAAGTCCGAATCTGATGTGTCTGCGTATAAAAAGAAACGGAATGAAGTGAATTCATTGTTGAAAAAGTCAAAACAAGCATACTGCAAAAATCTGTTGAATGAAACCTCAAACAACTTGGATAAGTTTTGGAATACTATAAAGAAGTTATATCCGAACAATCCTGCGAGACAGTCCCTGCCTATGATTAAGATAGATTCAACTGATATCTGAGATTCCTCAGTAGTATCAATCGCCTTTTGTTCTTACTTCAGCACAGTTGTATCATCTCTTAAAAAGAAAGCATTTTTATTAAGAGACTGTGTTTGGACTTTCCAACAAAAATTCAACCCAAGAACGGATTGTCATTTTAAGTTTAAAACAGTTACGGTTCAACAAGTGTGTAAGCTATTGGAATCGCTAAAGCGAAAGAAAGCTACTGGCCTGGATGAAATAATAAAGGACTGTGCAATATAGGCAGTATATATTTTGTCTGGTAATTGGAGTCTTTGGAGATTTTGTGTGTAAATGAATATAAAAATGACCCTTTACGGGTGGGTTGAGGGGGTGTTTCTGTCAACATTTTGGAAAGCAATAATATTTTATTAAAAAATTAGAATAATCACATATTAAATTCTGATTGTAGTATATATTGTATTGTGTGTGATTAAAGTAAGGTTATTTTTGTTTACCCCACCTCTGCATGCAAGGATTTTTTGGCCACCCCACCTAAAGCAACTATTATTTTTCAGTTACCCCACCATTTTCTCTTCGGCCCCCACCCCTGCCATAAATAATGACCGGTCCCTTAGTATATAATTTCTTGTTTAGATAACGAACATTTTAGACGCCTACATACTACGCAAACAAACAAGCTATAGTCTTAAAATGAAGCTAAAAAAATGCTCCACAATATTCCCTTATTCTTGAAAAGAGAAAATGCACAAATTCTGCGAAAACATTGCCAATAATTATATAAACCTGCTCGTGAACGTGCCGAACAAATTTCGGCGGCCATCTTTCTTCTCTTCCACTTTCAATACAAAATATCCCATTTTCATCAAACAAAATAATTTTTTTTTTACTTGTTATTTAAATCTTCGTCTGAATCCTTCTATTGTTCAAACCGCTTAATAATGGAGGACGTGTGTATGTATGTATATATATATATATATATATATATATATATATATATATATATATATATATATATATATATATATATATATATATATATATATATATATATATATATATATATATATATTTACAATGTTTTGCAAACGAGAAAACGGCAAGTTATCGCTTTTTATAGCCTTCACAGGATTAAAAACACAATGAAAAAACTCCCAAAAATTGTTTACAGGTTAGCAAATGAATTTTTAAAATTTAAAATGGTTAAAAATATATATTTTTGAAAAAATAATCGGCCGAAAGAGCGAAGATAAAAAACATTTAAAAAATAGAAAAATATTGAAAATATCCGAAAAGCAAAGTCTGTGAATTCAGACCTTGTGTATATAATAAAACAGTTATTCCACTCACTCTCGTCGAATATGAGCGATAGCCGATTCGGCGCTACGCGCCTCATCGGCTATCAGCTCATATTCGACTCGAGTTCGTAGAATAACTGTTAAATAT